GTAAACATATAATAAAAAATATTACATATAATAAAAAATTATTAATAAACATTTTTTTAACATTTTCGATAAAATAAGTAGAACTGGTAACCAAAGGTTTTTATCTTATTCCTACTTAATTACACAATTTTTAATATTTAAAACAGTAATTATTAATAAAGCGAGTGAAAAAATTAACTGAACAAAATCAGTGACAAAAACTTTTAACAGTTTTGATATATACAAATATTGATGAATACCGACGCAGACCGCTGACTGACGCTAAATTTTACGAGAAACTCTTTTCATGCATTTCTCACATCCAGCGTCAACTTTGTTCACGTGACATATTTGGACGCTAAAAATGAGCGTCGAGCGTCAGCGTGAAAAGGCACCTTTATGTGGACGATATCATTTTAGCTGCACCTAACAATTCTATAAATTTTATCAGTGACGTTGTTCAAAATTCCCGCTCGTAAAGCGGAATTAGGCCGCTCGCCCGAACAGCAGAGGGCGAAAGACAGGCGCCACAAAAAAAGAAGAGAGGGCGCCACAGACAGAAGTGGAAGTAGTAAGACGCACGTGCAACGTGACAGTGTGCCCACGAAATTATTTTTTGAGTCTGTTTCTTTTTTTGGCGACCGTACTGTGTCAAGGTGTGGCCTTTCAAGACCACGGGATCTTACGTCCCTTCACGCCTCACTCGGCGGCTAGTATACAATATTTCTACACCGTATGGGTGTACGATCACAAAGGTTTGGTCAAGACCATTCGGGATCTTACGTCTCTTCACGCCTCACTCGGCGGTTAGTATACAATATTTCTACACCGTATGGGTGTACGATCACAAAGGTTTGATCAAGACCATTCGGGAATTACTTCCCTTCTCGCCTCACTCGGCGATTAGTATACAATATTTCTACACCGTATGGGTGTACTATTCAAGGTATGACGAAACGTATTTATATTATGCGCTATATAATGATTATTTGAATTATTCAGTCTAATAACAATTATTTTAACCCACGAAGGTTAGTTTGAGTTAAGGATTTACACGTTATTTGATTAATTTTGCAATTTATTTCTTTTTCTTGTATTGCCATTATTAAATTATCTAAATACGGATTTTTTTTGATAGGAGTTATTTATTTTATTCCAACGAGGACTATAAGTGTGCGGTATAACATACACAATTTGCTCAAACATTTTGGTCCTTCGAGCCGGATCTGGGAGACATCATGAGGCTCTCCCATGTTGAAGCTCGTCTTGAGCAACTAGTGGAGACATCGGTTTTGATTTCAACAGCATTTGACAATTTTGCGAAGAATAATTCAACCAGTAACACGAACATAAGATCCACTATACGACTTGAAGCACTGAAATCGGAGTGGCAGCGTTTTTCGATCATAAATGAGGCGGTTTCAATAGCCATTGGACAATTAAAGAAAGATGAGAGACTCAAGATAAAGAAACATACATATTTTACAACAAACTTATACGCTCGCACGTATGAGAACTACTTACTTAACCTCGAGAAGATACAATTCATTCACGAATCTGATTACGGAACAGTTACTGAGTCTATGTCTACTCCCTCCTTAAATACAATCACTTCGTCTAATTCAGCAGCCTATTTACATCAAGCAAGACTTCCACGCACAGATTTACCTAAATTCAACGGTACGCCATCAGATTGGCTGTCATTCAAGGATCTGTTCTCTTCTTTAGTTTTGAGACATCCCTCTTTAACAGCAGTCGAGAAGCTGCAATACTTAAAGACAAGCCTGATTGGCAATGCAGCACAATTGCTCAAGAATACTACACTTACAGCAGATAACTTTGAACGAGCATGGTCAGAACTGGAATCTTATTACGACAACAACCGAATATTGGTAAATGCGGCTCTTCAATCGTTACTGGATCTCAAAAAGATCTCCAATGAATCAGCACGTGATTTAGAGCAATTATATGCAAACGTCAAACAAATATATAGATCCTTAGAAGCTTTAAAGAGGCCAGTTACAGCGTGGGATGATTTTCTAGTATTCATCGTTTCACAAAAGCTAGATACTGAGTCAGTAAAGGCCTGGGAGAATCACATAGGAGCTAATAAGGATCCGCCTTTATGGCATCAATTTATGGACTTCTTGATAACGAGATTGCGCTCTCTACGAGCATTTGAGAATTCGAGGTCAAGCAAGTCCATGACACAACCTCGGGCTCAGACCATAAAGGCACATTATCAAGGACAACCAGCAACTACCAAGTCCGGTAATACATTTTCTTATGGCATCTGTAAAGGGAACCATACTACAACAACATGTCCTCAGTATGTTTCCAAAACACAACAGAAGCTTACTTTGATCCGAAAACATGGATTGTGTTTTAATTGTTTGAAACAACATAAAATTGCAAACTGCACTTCTACTAGAAGATGTGTCAACTGTGGCAAAAAGCATCATACATCGATTCATCAAGAAACATCTAAAGCTGATAAATTGGAAGTCGACAAGAATCCAGTCTCACAAACTACAGCTGAGAAACGAGCTACACATTCAGAACCTCATGTTTTGCATTCAAATATAGCACAAAGATCCTCCGATCGTTTAACACTTCTGGCAACTGCTAAAGTCATGATAGTTAGACCAAACGGAGATTCGTCATTTACAAGAGCTCTATTAGATCAAGGTTCTGAAGTATCGTTAATTATAGAAAGGTTGTCGCAACGACTTAGACTACCTCGTCAAAGGTCTTCGATTCCTCTGGTGGGGATTGGAGAACAACAATCCAATAAGACTAGAGGAATAGTTCACTTTAAGTTGAAACCACATTTTAACTCAACCTTCGAGTGTGTTATATCCGCTCATGTATTACCAACCATTACCTCATCAATACCAACGACAGAGATATCAAACGAAACATGGACTCATCTTCAAAGGTTACAGCTAGCAGATCCTCAGTATTCAGTCCCTGGCTCAATCGACATTTTGTTAGGAGCTGACACTTATAGTCATCTGTTGACTGAAGGCATTATAAAGGATAAGATTAATCTACCTGTAGCTCAATCAACATCTCTCGGTTGGATCATATCTGGTCCAACCGGACAAACGACTCCTCGACAGTCACTACAAAGTTATCACGTCATCAATCATGAAGAGTTATCTAACCTCATGCAACGTTTCTGGGAGTTAGAATCGATTCCTACGATTCAAACCTCATCTTTAACACCTGAAGAGCAGGATTGTGAGGAACAATTCAAAACTACTCATACACGAGACACTGATGGTAGATACGTCGTCAAATTGCCTTTCAAGGATGATGTTAGTAAACTGGGAGACTCAAAAGGAAAGGCCATACGTTTCTGTCAAAGACTTATACATCGTTGTTCCTCTGATAAAACTTACGCTCAACTTTATCATGAGTTTCTATCAGAATATAGACGATTAGACCACATGAGATTAGTGCCGGAGTGTTTACCAGAACCTCCAGAGACTTTCTACCTCCCTCATCATGGAGTCTGGAAAGCAAACAGCTCAACGACTAAGTTAAGAGTCGTTTTCAATGGCTCAAATCCTTCTGCATCAGGTACTTCTCTGAATGAACTTTTACATTCTGGTCCCAAGCTGCAAACAGATACGATTAATGTACTCTTACACTTTCGGCAATTCCAATTTACATTTACGGCAGATATAGAGAAAATGTTTCGACAAATTAAAGTTCACCCCAGTGACTGGAGGTTTCAACGTATTATTTGGAAGGATCAAGGTAATCAGTTTATGACGTATGAACTCACAACGGTTACCTATGGTTTGGTGTGTGCTCCTTTCTTAGCTCTCAGAGTTCTACAACAACTTATTTCCGATGAAAGACAGCACTTTCCAGAAGCGGTTTTGACCATGATCAAGGGGAGATATGTTGACGATGTGCTTGGAGGAGCGGACTCTATAACAGAAGCTATATCCATTGTGAACCAGCTAAACAAGCTCTGCATGGCGGGCGGTTTCCCGCTTAAAAAGTGAATCAGCGCTGAGCCTACGATACTAGATTCTATTCCTTTGAAAGACCGTGCAGACTTTACTAATTTACGAATTAATCATGATCTTGTCATCAACTCTCTTGGTTTGCAATGGCATCCATCAAGTGATACTTTCGGGTTTTTCTTTGATTCTCCTTCAACGGATCGCGTCACTAAAAGAAGAGTTCTTTCTACCATCGCCAAGATATTCGACCCACTAGGGTTTTTATCTCCTGTTATCATAAAAGCCAAAATTCTAATTCAACGGTTGTGGACCTTAAAACTAGAATGGGATCAGCCGCTACCAGATCACATATTAGAAGAATGGATTAACTTTATAGAGGATTGCCGTCAACTTTCTAATCTCACGATACCCAGTGCTCGGGATGAGTACCTCGCTCCCATGGGAACTTTATGGTTTCTGTGCTTCTAACAAGGCGATGGCAGCAGTAGTATTCGTTAGAACTACACATCCTAATGGACAGATAATATCAAGATTTGTCTGTGCTAAAACAAAGGTAGCACCTTTGAAAAGATTGACAATTCCGAGATTGGAATTGTCGGGCGCTGTTCTTTTAACAAAACTCATCGTTCAAATACTCAAGATCTTACATGGAAAACCTGCTAGGATTTATCTTTGGACAGACTCCTCCATAACACTTATATGGATTAACAACCACCCTTCGAGATGGAAGGATTTTGTACATAATAGGACCTTTTATACAAGAGTCGTTACCGACTTGGAATTTCATCGCTGGAGCGGAAAATCCTGCTGACCTTGCGACGCGTGGGATAACTACAGATCAGCTGCGCAAAATGACTTCTTGGTGGCAGGGCCCTGCTTGGCTTTCACAGTCGTCCTAATACTGGCCTTCAGCTTTGCCGATTAAGCTAATAGTAATCAATTAGAAGAAAAACCAGTACAAGTATCGACTACTGTTATCTCTCACAAACAACCTTGGGACTTGTTAGTTAAATACTCGAATCTCAATCGACTTCTAAGAATTACAGCTATGTGTTATCGGGTTGTGGCTCGTTTTAAACGCCTATCTGACACGTCCATATCATCTCCAATTACACCATTGGAGTTATGCAAGGTCAAAGAATTTTGGATTAAACAAGAGCAGGGTGAGGCCTTCCACCAAGAACTCAGACTTCTATCTAAGAATCAAAAGCTCTCAAGGTCCAGTCCGCTTATACGACTTACACCATATGTAGACTCTAATGGAGTCTTACGAGTAGGAGGACGTCTACAAGCATCAAGTCTTACTGTTGATGCCAAACACCCAGCTATCTTGCCCAGAAAGTCCCCCTTGACTTCTCTCGTGATAGCGAATGCACATTTGAGATCACTACACGGAGGTATACAGGTTACCACTTCCTTTATAAGAGAAGAATATTGGATATTAGGGGGACGAGCTCCTGTTAGAAGCTATATTCTCAATTGCGTTACATGCACACGATATAGACAAGAACGAGCTAAGCAATTGATGGGACAGCTACCACCCGAAAGATTAACACCTTCACGACCTTTTTTACATGCTGGTGTGGACTACGCTGGTCCTTTCTCCCTTAAAACTTGGAGGGGAAGAAACACTAAAACATACAAGGCTTATATTGCACTCTTTGTCTGTTTTTCCACTTCTGCCATCCACCTGGAATTAGTCACTAACCACACAACAGAAGCCTTTATTGCGGCTTATAAAAGATTCACCAGTCGAAGGGGTATAAGTGCCACCCTAAGTAGTGACTGTGGAACTAACTTTAGAGGAGCAGACGAAGATTTACAACGTTTGTTTTCTTCTGCATCAAAGGAAGCTCAACAATTGTCATCATTGCTAGCAAATGATGGAACACTTTGAAAATTTAACCCCCCCTCTGCACCACATTTTGGAGGCAAGTGGGAGGCAGGGGTTAAATCTGTTAAATATCACCTTAAACGAGCAATTGGAGATATACTCCTTACTTATGAAGAGATGTCTACATTGTTGACACAAATTGAAGCGGTACTCAACTCAAGGCCATTGTGTCCACTAACGGACGATCCAGAAGACCTGGCTGTACTCACTCCAGGACACTTTTTACTAGGACGTGCTCCTACAGTCATACCCGAACCTTCATTAAGGGATGTGAACACCTCACGACTTTCAAGGTGGCAACTAGTACGGAAAATGCTCGACTCATTATGGTCAAAATGGTCGACTGAATACCTCCAACGTTACCATTCTATTTACAAGTGGAACCAAAGGACTTCATCTATAACAGAAGGATCTATGGTTTAGTTATAGATGAACGCTACCCACCTGCTAAGTGGCCTCTTGGCCGAGTAACCAAAGTATACCCTGGTCCTGATGGACTAGTTAGAGTTGCCAGAGTTAAAACTCAAACCTCCGAACTAAGAAGACCGGTTACTAAACTTTGTTTTCTTCCAGTTGAAAAGGCGTCTATGGACTCTAGAGTTTGTTCGTTAACCATGGTTAACGAAGGCGGGCGGAATGTTCAAAATTCCCGCTCGTAAAGCGGAATTAGGCCGCTCGCCCGAACAGCAGAGGGCGAAAGACAGGCGCCACAAAAAAAGAAGAGAGGGCGCCACGGACAGAAGTGGAAGTAGTAAGACGCACGTGCAACGTGACAGTGTGCCCACGAAATTATTTTTTGAGTCTGTTTCTTTTTTTGGCGACCGTACTGTGTCAAGGTGTGGCCTTTTAAGGTCATTCGGGATCTTACGTCCCTTCACGCCTCAAGAGGCGATTAGTATACAATATTTCTACACCGTATGGGTGTACGATCACAAAGGTTTGGTCAAGACCATTCGGGATCTTACGTCCCTTCACGCCTCACTCGGCGGTTAATATACAATATTTCTACACCGTATGGGTGTACGATTACAAAGGTTTGGTCAAGGCCATTCGGGAATTACTTCCCTTCTCGCCTCACTCGGCGATTAGTATACAATATTTCTACACCGTATGGGTGTACTATTCAAGGTATGACGAAACGTATTTATATTATGCGCTATATAATGATTATTTGAATTATTCAGTCTAATAACAATTATTTTAACCCACGAAGGTTAGTTTGAGTTAATGATTTACACTTTATTTGATTAATTTTGCAATTTTATTTCTTTTTCTTGTATTGCCATTATTAAATTATCTAAATACGGATTTTTTTGATAGGAGTTATTTATTTTATTCCAACGAGGACTATAAGTGTGCGGTATAACATACACAATTTGCTCAAACAAAGCTTGATATACAAATTCTTGTTTTAATTGATCATATGCTGTTTTTCGCTTTTGATGTAAATAATTATATAATTTTTTAATATCACTTATGCTTGGCAATATAATTTTCTTTTGTCTTCTTTTCTGTGCCTGAGTTTCCTCAACTACTTTATTGATAGTTGTACCATAGTCTTCTTGTAGAATTTTTAAAAAATTCTCAGCATTTTCTTTTCGTTTGTAATCATGAATTTTTATACATTCTGTAATAAATAAATTACCAACTTGTTTTAATAACGTGTCTAAAGAAGAGGCTGTTGCCGGTGCTTTGTAGATGTTGCAATCTTTATCTAATTGTGCAATTTCTTGGACAGATTTAATACAGTCATCGTAATGTAATGGATCATAAATAGAACTAAACTGCTCTAGATCTTTGTTAAACTTTTTCATTGTAAGCCAAAATCTTCAAAGTAATCGAAGACGCGAACGAATCATATCATGTTGATGTAAATGTTTATATTTTACCGCTTAATTTATTTCCATATGTTATTAATAATTGATCATATCTTATTGAGCGTGTAACCAAATCATGTCGAAGTACAAGAAATATGATGTTTTTTAACACATGGCTTGCATTATTATGAATTCGACCAGTAATTTTTCTGCCCAAAACTTGTACTGCTCTAAATGCTTTCTTGCCACTGCATTGTGCAAAGTGATGTCTAATATTATTTTTTGTAAAAAATCCTTTGCATTTAATACAACATGTAAAATCAGCTGCTTTACGGTTTTATTTGTTTTGTGGTCTTCCGCAAACGATAAGTTCACCATTATTTAATAATGGATCAGTATTGAATAAGAAATTGCCATTTCTTCGGATAGTCTCTATAATCTTTTTCCGTTCTAAAGTACCTATATATAATAAAAAATATATTCAAATACATCTCTCATGCTTATATCAACAGAATTAAAGAATGATAACATTTTATATGTATGTATACATGATTAATAAAATTATACAAATAATAAAATAAATATAAAATATCAGATAATATAAGGAACATTTACAACAAAATTATTATGTAAATTGTATTTTCTTTTTTTACCTTTTGATAATACAGAAAATTTTTGTACTTCTTCTTCATTACGATGAACTATCTCTAAATGTTTAGCAATTTGACTTTGAAATTTTTTACAAAAAAAGCAAAAATTCTTTTTTTGTGCTCCTTTAGATTTGGAAACAGAAACATACATATTTTCATCATCACATCCACGTACGCTTACTGCTGATATATTAATACTATCGCTTGTTTCATTTCTATTATTATTACTTTCATTTTGTTTATCACTCTTTTCTTCAATGTTATAATTTGTTATATCACTATCTGAACTTGGTTCATAATTACTATCGTTATCATCCTTTTCGTATTCTGGGTCAGTATTATCACAATTATCAGTACTAATATTATTGTAATTAAAATTTGTTAATTGAGCTAATTAAATAAACAATTTTCTTATTAATATTTTGCTGTGTAGGAAAATTAAATATTAGACATTCTTAAAAATAATATTCCACTTACCATCAATAGTATCATTAATATTGCTTTCCAAATTAGTATTAATATTAACAGTATTTTCAACATTATGTTCTTCAGTACATTCAACATCATTTACAATACAAGTAATATCACCATTGATATCACCATAGTCGATACTACTATCATTTATATCACAGATATTAGTCGAGTTGTCACAGATGTTATTATTATCACATAT